AAAATTCGGATTCGGGAATTATGCATGCGTGACCTGTTGTACGACAGTCTGATTGTTTGTATAAACTATAAAAAGGTGAATGTACGACTATTTCTTGCTAAATAAATTTTTTCGCTCTGCTCAAGTTGTACAACTTTTATAACACAAAAAAAATAAGCAACTATGTCCGATCATACCTCTCTTCCGTCAGCCGAAGAAGTTAATGAATGGAGCCCGCATCAAGTTATTGAATTTCTTGAGTCCTATAATAAAGAAAAAAGTTATTTCTTGGAGATGGAGACATTAAAGATAACCATGTCTGCGGTCCAGCCACAACAATTGTAGAGTTGATTGATAAAATTAAGGGTGAGGACCAGGGTAAGTGGTACCACGACTGCATTCGAAGATACAAAGTGGGGAAACATCAAAGAGAGGAAAAAACGAAATAGGGTAGAAAGTTAATTCAGTACATGTATATTCGTGTAATATATTTTCATTTTTGCTCTATCAGGCCCTTTAGGAGCGACTGAATGATATATTTTTTATATTATCTACCATACCAAAGATTCAATCCAATAATTCATTAAGAGAGTTAAATGCCAAGCTCTTAGTTGAGATTTATGAGCTTAGGAAGAGATTGCTGAGATCGAAAGTGAGAATAGAGAACTTAAGAATGAGAATGTAGATCTTAAAGCTGAATTAGCCAAATGCTGAGCTTGAGAGGCGCTTCGCATGATATACCTTATCCTATAATGAGATTAGATAGAGGAGGCGGGAGAAGAAACTCCAAGAAGATTCAAAAATATTCATAGTCTCCCAGGATTCCACCGATCCCTTGAACGAAAAATGGACAAGAATTGGTTCGAGAAATGTCTTCATCCAAAGAAAAGATACCAGAGATGGTCGCAAACCAATCAGTATCAAATCAGCCGAAAGGCACTTCACATGTAACTAAAATTTCCGAGACCGCGCGGTCCCAGAAATCCGATGCATTACCACCATGGAACCAGTATGATAAAGCGTTTATTGCAGAAGAGTGCACATTGGAAGCAAATAAAATTGGCGAAAAGGAGGCAAGAGCCCTAATATATGATAAAGTCATGAAATAGATTCATATCCTTCGTAAGAAAAGATCTACAAACTTCTCGAAAAATTATGGTTCATTTCTCAAACAAGCTTCAGTACGGATTTTAGCAATGATCGGGACAATAATGAGAATATCAAACCGAGAATAATGAAAATGTTGAATTCTCTGGTGAAGATGCGGGTTATTACTATGAATTAATTAGCGGGAAAAAACTTATAAAAATAGTGATTATATAATCAGTGTATATTAACATGCGATACTTGAATCCAATAACAACAGATTAATAATCGGAAATTTCATCGGATCTGGCATATAAAGCATGTGCTTGAGATAACATGGATATAAAGTCTATAATGAAGGTTAACATGATACTAATTTATCATATTTTCTAGTATATACTAACAACTTAGTATTCTTGACAACTTAAAGCATCTTTAATACAATATTTAGCAATTTTACGTATATTTTCAGCGGTCTCGAGTGAGATATTTTCCTTGCTTCGTGTGTAATATTCCCTTATAACTTTTATGGGTAAATCTATTTTACTATCAAGACCATGCATTTCTAAGAAATAGTTGAGTGATTTTTTCTCAGATTTTGGATAAAGTTTTTTAAAGCATACTACAACATCAATTGGAACGCATTCTGGGATTTTAAGAAAAGTAGATATGAAACCTTCTTCTGGAGTGATCTTGATTTCAACTCCTTCCCGATTCTTTATCTTTTTGTTATCCTTGTTTTCTTTTTTGGAAGATCCCCATGATTGCTCTTTGTGAAAGAAATCTTTATAGAAAGGCTCACCTACCCCCCCATAATAATTCCAACGAAGGATGCTATCGATTGTAGCCTTTTTATGCAGATTTGCTGACATTTTTGTTAACATCCAATCCAAAATTTTCCATTGAGTAGCTTTTTCCACTACAAATGGCCAGTCATACTTGGAACCATTAAAAGTGAGTTCGATATCAGAAGCTAAAGCCTGCCAACATAAAGCAAATGCTTTTAATAGATTTTTCTCATTTCCACACACGATTGTAATCCAATTTGGGTCCTGTGCACTTTCAACGTCAACAAGGCAAATTTGTTTCAATGGCTTTGGATCGTCTTTCCAATGAACAGTAATACAAATCATAAATATGTTATCTTCTTTATATCTCGCATAGGGCATGTGTTCTAATCCACGTGTTGAATGTGTTTTAATGTCCCAAGCAAGGACTAATGCTCGGTCTTGAGTAATAAGCTAAGAAGGGTAGGTCCTATATAATACTGCGGGATCCTCAATATGGCGAAAATTATTAACAGATAAATAAAAAGCATGTTCACAAAGAGATAAACGGGTACTATAAGGCATTCTATGGCTATTATATGAGTCGGAGACTCTATGCTCACATATTTGTAATTAGTTAATAAAATCTATCTAGAGAGTGGAATCCTATATTCTCTAGCAACTTTTCGGTAGTATGCGCTCAAATCATCTGAGGCGGTTTCCAGC